GGACCCACGAATTACAGTCCTCGTCGTATACAACTACACCGGATCCATCGCCGACGGCTACGGTTTGATAATCACGTACGGACGTGACGTTTTACATCCGGCACGTCTCTTCGTTTTTTCCTCTCCTTATTATTATTATGATAATCGTTATATTATCTGTCACGCCGTCGTGCTATCGGGCGAGCACGACGATGAAGCGCCAGTGGCGTGTCTGAAGCTGGGACGATTACTTTTTTAATACATCAACTTTTGATACGCAGGGACTCCCCGCGGACTGCTCTTAACAACTTTGAGTATTTTTTTTATTGGACATTTGATTTTACATTTAGATTTCGAGCTGTTTGGTGATTTACGACGATATTTATTTTTTACCATCACCACTTTTTTTGAGCAACACGTTCGTTTTAATGCACTTATAGTTTTCTAGACAGTTCTTAAAATTTTGTTTTTGAGTTTTGTGGTCGTTAATCAATTATCTTAATTTTTATACATATTTTATTATTATGGCTTCGCTAATTTAAAAATAAACTTGACTAATAAATATCTAACATAAAATAATCGAATATTGTTTATATAAATTGAACAACCCATAATAATATGTCAGTCATACATTCAATGTACGTGTAACAGTGTAGGTCAGTGGTTCTCAATATTATAGTTTTATACTTCGTGACTTGAATATTCAAAAAAAAAGATGATCATGCTCCCTTCCATATAAAATCGACGTAACATCCAAAATTAGTTTTATTTATTGTATTTAGGGTTACTTAGAAAATTATTACCATTCAAATCTAAGTTTTAAAGTTCAGACTGTTCAACGAAAAATAAATTATCTCTTTAATAATGATTAAATTCACCTCTGAGGGTTAATCCCTAATTGGTTTGAGAACCACTGTGTGTTATATACCTAACCACGTCATTTTAATAATATAGCGTGTAAATATTGTGTTTTCTCGTGCTGATTATAGCCATATCATTATATTTTACCGATCAATTACACAAAACCAGGACAGCAAACAAGGTACGCCTAATTTGGTTTTATTTTTCGTTTAAAATTCATTATTGTGTCATGTTATATGCTTACAACTTTATAAGTTAGGGCAATAATAAATATTGAATATACTGTAAATATATTGTATAATGTATAATATATAATATATAATATAATATATCAATCCAAACGTATTTACTCGGATTCTTTAATAAAAACAAAACGTACAGATTTTAGTGCGACTGATCATAATAATGGAAGAAGGTTGACCGCGGAAAATCGTAAGATTCTGAGTTAATCATATTCTATAAGATAAATATACGATTAATAAATAAATGATATTGTTTTCTAACTTGGCTGTATGATGTTAAAATTATAATTATTTCAAAACACATCTACAAGGATTGAAATTTATTTGTAAATGTTATTATACTACATCCATTTAAGTACCCACTGGCAATTGTTTGTTAAAACCGTATCTAAATCGGATTGCATTAAATTAAACCGTCATTATGCTAGATTATAATATGTATAGCTGTAATTTCAGCGTATAATTTATAAGGTCGTCCGTGAAAAGTAAATAATTGCAAAGTTGAATAACAGACCCAATATCACTGTTGGGTAATATAAACATGAGCCTGAGATAAATTACCTCGTCGCGGAGCGCCGGAAGTGACTTCAAACAGACTAGAAATATTTCCGACGCTAATTTGTACACTCCCGCGCTGAGAGAGAATTTAAACCACGACAGAAGCTATAGGGTTCACTCGATACCAATAATTTGTCTAAGTACACTCCGAAGGAAATGGAGATTAGACGATGCGAAAACCTCACGGAAATCGGTGCGTTCTCGAGTCCCGTCGAGTCGGCCGACCGTTAAACATTCAATTTCACCTACACGGTTTGAGAATATAACTACGACAAAGTGGACTACTGCGTTTTTCATCATCGCAAATGTACATTTCCGAAACCAGTGTGTTGATATTATCGGCCTACGACTTTCCAATCCGATAGAGAACTCCTCGAATGTCCTAATAGAAGTCTCGATGCGCTTAGAAAATTGAATGTTGATGAAGGCTGATTTCTGATCGAAGAAACGAAAAACAGTTGAATCGAACAACAAAGGAATAATCGTAACATCGGTTCGGATAGATATTACAAGTTACCATAAAATGTAAATTTAAAAAAAAGACAACTCAGTTTTAGTTTACTACATCACGTTTACACATCTGATAAGTGATTAGTTGTAGTCAAAGTTTTAGATAAATAAAAAAATTAATGTGTCTAAAAATCAATCTGGAATTAAAAAAATACGCGACACAGAACTACGACAAAAAAAATATTATGATGTCCACCGCGCGCGTGCTACACTATTAATGTGAGTACACTGGTACGAAAACCCTGCAAGTAAACCAGTAAGACCAGTGATTTCTCGGAAACCTCTGGTAACTCGCATTGTTTTCAGAGCGGATTTGTGTAAGTCTCGTGGTCGCTATTATACTTATATGATTGGATTTTTTTTTTTTGTAGAAATTCTCAAAACCCACGGGGATTAGTATTTATACAACTTATCTAGACGACCCGCGTGTATGAGGCGTATGCGTGCGGCTGCAGTATAAGCTCGACGAGCAGTGACGTCCCAATTAAACGGAGATTTATGTTTTCCGAACCTTTGCTCCGAGCACATGTTGTTATTATGTTTTTATCGTATCCGATTCGGCTGCGCCCGCGTGTACGTCACGAACACCGAGAAAACAATATTTTAACAGCCGTCGGGCGCCTCATCCGTGATATTCCGTACGATTATTAAAATGCAAGAAATACATCCAAATCAGCTGTAGACCGACAGACAGGATTTAGGTCGGCAAATCTTAACAGCTCTGCTGTATAGTCTACCAGGCGCACTGAACATTAATTATACAATATTGCGATTGAGGCTAATCGAATAAAGCCTATTCTGCCGCTTTAGTTTCGACGGATTCGTATGGGGTTTGGTTTTCCTCGTCAGCCCGTCAAATGGATTTCCGTTTTCGGTGCAGTAAAAAATACTTCTTTCAAAATATATGTCCTCTCGAGTACGCCGCGTTTCTCTCAGCCAGTGTTCACGTTTAACTATTATTACAATATTATATTATTATATTCGCGTTGCATATGCACACACTTGTACAACCCTACGACCATGTGTGCACCGTTATACCCGGGTTGTATTAAATTTAATCCCGGCCGAAATCGTGATACAAAATCATTATTGCAAATCCCAGAAACTCAAAACCAATCATGAATTATTATGGTTTTAGGCCACGAGCGCTAATTCCGATATAATGTATACACACGCGGCGCACTCCGCGACAACAACAATACCACCGCCGTTAATACACTTAAAACGATTCCGTCGAATTACGTAACCGCAAATTGAATTCTGTAAATACCGAGACACGCTTCGGCGGCGGTGCATTTTCTTGGTATCAATCGAATAAGAAAATGTCCGCGAACTGTAGACGCGGAAAAGCGAGTGCTTATTGTGGCGGCGGCGGCGGTGGCGAAATCCGTTTATAGACGTTTAACCGATTTAATCGCTTATAAAATAATATATTATCGCACCTATTGGCTCGGGTGAACGAGGGTAGGTTTGTTCGATCATATTATCATACACAGCAACTTGCGCGTACTTTGCGGATGATGGTCTAATAGCACTCAGTCGTTATAAACACATGGACGTTTGAACAATAATGTATCCTCAACACATATTATATACATATTGTCACTATAAACTCGTTCGCACTGTATCGACGTCGTTTAATAAAATTATCAATCGACCATAACCAGATAACTGGTACCAGATTACGATTATTGTAACGGAAAAACTGTCTCACGACAGTGGTGCTGCGAAATCGCCTATCCAAGACGCCGTGTCATCGTGTCTTGTAATTTATTGAACTATTGAAAATAAAAATTGATATTATGTGCCTATTAATAATATATATGTTTATCATACTCACGATTTATGTACTTTGGGTGTGCCCCAGTAGGTTATTGTCACGAAATTAAGTTTTTTATTATAATATAAGACAGTGTAATCGATTGTTTGCTCGTGCTTTTTTTCACGTTGTAATTAATTGTATAAATATTAAAATTCTAAATTAAGTTTTTTTTTCTGCGCAAACAAACCACCGCTATTTTCGGATTCAAAAAGTTGTTTGTGGTTTCAGAGATTCGAATAATTCCATAACAAACATTGTAATATATTTTTTTTTCATCCGTATTTTGTATCATATAATATTATAATATTATATTATGTACACTTGATTGTTTGTATATATTTAAAATAAATTAAAAGTGCAGTACATCTGGATAAAAGATAAATAAACTCTAGCCTTTGAATTGAAGTTACTAATTAAAATATCGTACACGTCGCCGGCATTAAACTTTTTCGAAACATTATAGTAAATTAATCAAATTCATCTGGTTCGTTTGTTTCATTATGTATTTTATATACGCCGGCGATTAATCGGAATCGAAGGCTTAAAGTATTATGTTCGGTATAAAGTAATTAAAAAAAATAAAAATAAATTGATTATTAGCCACCGCCGTTCCTATAAACTTATATTCATTAACAATATATCTGTAACGATAGTTTGAAACAATTATTATAGTCACCGTCGGCAATTTAAGGATTTGCGAGTTTATTATAGTTGGCAACTTTGTTTGAGGCGTTAAGTATATTTATATATTCATTTCATAAATAATAGTAAAATATAATAATACATGACTCTTCCTTCGTATGGTTAAATCGATTTTTTGTTCGTCGGATAGAAAAGTAATAATAATAAAAACGTATTTTTTAACCGTATACAATTATAATGTGTACTGCATGTTTTCCTATAATATTTTTTGACGTCTCCGCTCCCGCGTTTCGTTAATAATATTGTTATCATATTAATATAAATTTATTTTTGCGGTGAATTCCAAGAAAAAGCCTATTAATATTTTTCATTTTTGTGTTTTACAGGGGCAGTGGGCGATGGCGGTGAATCGGCCGAGGACAAAGAGAAAAACGCAGAAGCAGAGAGGGAACGGTTGGAGGCAATCCGGGAGGCCGAGGAAAGACGCAAAGAGAAGCACCGCAAAATGGAGGAAGAGCGGGAGAAAATGAGACAAGAAATCCGAGATAAGGTAAAATAATGACGTTAAACCGTCCACATATATATATATTTATTTATATTAAGTCGGGTGGGTCACGGGGAGTCGGAGAGTGATATTGCAATAAAATTTTCTTCTGACCTACGGCGGCCTGGTCGTAATGCTACCGCCTACCGCCGCCGTCGTGACGGGTGGACGAAATTCGAAAGATTTGACAGCAGTAGGTAGGTTTTTTCCATTTTTTTTTCTTGCGTCGTCCGCCTCGCCGTTCAGATAATAATATAATAATAATGATATCAACGACAACAATGACGACGAAAACTATACTGAAACAACTCCCAATCTCAGTTAAGATACGGTCAACGAGAGCACACACCCACGCCCACACACAAACACACACTCACACGTGATTGTCTCGGAAAACGAGGGGAACTATGTAATAATATAAATACGATTCAGTTTAAATTGTTCATTTCGCTAGAGTATTATTGCGATATTGCGCCTTTTGTAAAATGATTACAGTAGATTTCGGCAAACCATCGAGTAGGATTGATTTGGAGGAGGGGGGTGTTGCTCGCAAGCATTAAGCCGAGATTCGTTTGAAAAATTCTTGTCAGTCTTCAAAACGCCAATCATGATATAAACACGTTTAATCGATACTGTGCATAAGACGTGTACTGTCAACATAATATTCTAATCGGAACTATCAAATTCTTCATTCCGCGCATAATATGCACATTGCAGTAGTTGACTTGGTGAATTGTTTTGTTAGCACCTCTGTGGTTGATGATAATGGTTGTGTGTATACAATATTATACGTTTTTAACGTATCCCAAAAATAAGTCGTCACGTGGCGTAAGATAATATGACCTTAGAAGCCTAGTGTAAAAGCAATCGGATGATTAATTTCGAACAACCCTGCATGTAGTAAAGGTAAAAACGTTATTATATTATGTCATGTCCTTCGACATTAAATAAAATAAAGTTTGTCATAAAACGACATTACACACGTCACTATGATATATGAACTAAAATCGTAAAATCTATTCGTTTGAACTCGTTTTACGATACCACGCATAATATTAATTACAACTTGACGACTGTTATTGTTTTTTTTTTTCATTCTATAAATTCTAAGAGAAATTATTTTAATAGCGACCACCGATCCGTTAAGGTCATTACAGATTGTTTGCACCACACAGTTACTATAAATCGTCACCATTTTGACTCCAACGTGGTCGAATGCGACGAACATATTTTGTTGGTTATCGTGACTTTTTATTTTTGTTAATAATTTTAATTCCTGTCACACCTAATAACCGTCCGTCCGTCGGGTCGAAATAAAAACGCATTTGCTTTACATACTTGTTTTTTAAGCCATTCGTTTCCTATATACGATTTTATCTCTGAAAACAAAAAAACAGATCTGACGTCTCCTCGACGTCCTTACACGTATAATATAAATATAATATATTTAACTTCTTTTTTTTTATCGTTTGGTGATTTAGAGGTTTGAGTTTGGGGAGAGGGGAAAAAACTAATTATAATCCACGGCGAGCTTTTATTGTCCCGACGATTTGAATAACTTGGTTTTATCTGTATTCCCTTCCGACGCACCAATTACGTTATACTTATACTTTTATATAAATATATGTGCACATTGTACGTTATACAATAATATACGACGAAACTATTACTCTCCAAAGTTTTAATTGCGTTTGTCGTGCACTAGAGTTCACTGATTGTCGCATCACATTTTGAGATTTTTACGACCATCGCCAGGGTATAATATTCTCTCTCACATAATATCTGTACGTAAGATAATAAAACTATTGTTATAATTAGGGCCAGAAATTGTATGCCAAAAACATTGTTAACTATAATTTAATGCGCTTATACTCAAGCGAAAACAATACGTGAAATAAATACGAAAAACATCATTGCAAAATATTCAAACGTTATTAATATTATGACGATGAATAGAGTTTAAAAAATATGAATATTCTGTGAAAAAAAAACAATCAACGAAATTATTAAAACAAAAAATAATTATATTATATAATTTCAATTTTTATAGAAATCACTGTCATTGTTAATAGGTAATTTAATATAATATTGCGATCTGCAGTTTTTTTTTACAATTATGGATCATTCTTAAAGCAATCACATTTGAGCAATTCCTAATATTATCATTAAAATATTATGTAAGAAACTATGAATTAAGTACAAACTTATGTTAGGCGTACTTATTATTAATTACACTCTAACAAAATAAAAACAATTATGATTTTAGCTTCTAAGTTAGTGTCCGACCGACGCCATGTTATACAATAATGGGTATCTTTTCTTTTGATTTTCAAACTAAGAACGCTGAGTCTGTCACGGACTAAAGCTTTGTAATATTTCGAAAACAATTCTTGATCTATTTACTGTACATTTTTTAATCGCAAGTTTTAATAATATTCAACCGCTTATACAGACATATGCGATGAACAAGTTTTTTTAGTTGTTGTTTAGCATTGAACTTTGTATAGATTACGAATAGATCACGAAATGATGATTACGAATATCAGGATGATTGTATTCCATCTATAAACTGTTTATGTATAAAAAGTGTTTAACAACAGCATTACGAGAAAAGGTAAAACGTCCAGCAACGTTGCATGACCTAAACAAAGTTCAATAATCTATGTATCTACTATACCGTATCTTACCGTAGCCTCAACTACTTTACATATGAGTAACTCAGTACCCGAAAAGTGTAATTTATCTTTTTCCGCTCTCCGTATACTCTCATTACTTGTCTACGAGTATAAGGTCTATATTGTTCAATGTTAAATATATACACGAAAATAGCTTTTTCGTTTAAATCCTGGCCATTCAGTTATAACATTGTTGTATTGCGACGGCGACGTTCGATTCGTACTACACTACTACATCCCTTTTTACTTTTAGACATAATAGTCACTTGTAATATTTCGTGTCAAACGCTAGGAGTTAACAACGATGACATTCTATGGTACGATATCCGAAGTCTGTTGCAGCATAATAATACTCATCAACATCGGTGTGAATTAAACGGTAATAATGACGATCTTATGGATGATGATAACAATATTTTGTCACGATAGCGAGTGTCGCGGCTGCTCGAAATTGCAACAATACGTAGGGTTCTTGGAATTATTTTGCAGCCTCAACCCTGGATAACGCAGTTTATTCCGCAGCCTTTCTCGCCTTACTGTCCGCAATAATAGATGTACGCGGTCCAAAAGGAAACTTTTTCTCCTCTAGAGTTTTTTTTTGTTTTTACATTTTCGTATAACTGCAGCAGCCGTTCTCGTTTTCATATAACAATACTATATCGTGTGATTTACGATTGGTTCTATAGTCGTCGTTTTTACCATAATAATATTATAATATCCTTCTCCGCGACCATCTTTTCTCGGAATCATCAAACATTTTGCCTGAGACAAATCTCTTTGTGTGCGAAGAGTTGTAGTGATATAAAATTTGATTTTTCTAATTGGTTTTCCCTCGACTTTTTGGTACGAAGGGTCTGCTGTAAAATATCAGAAGGTACTGCTTTCTAAACTAAACAATTATAATGTTCAAAGTATTATAATATTCCTTGAACGAAAGTTCAATAACAAATTGGCAATAAGCGTATCATATTACCGAACGATTTATGTCTCTATTTTCATTTAAATTAATTTTCACAGACATCGAAACGATTTATTAAAATATTTATAACTTTCTTTGTGCACTTTATTAAAGTAAATTAATTCTTTAAACTTTTTCGAAAAATACGTTATTTAATATATTATTATTTTGTCATTAAACGCACAACGACGTTCTTTTTTTAATTTTATTTTTGGTAGTTAATTGATTTTCATTCTACTATATTTATTAATTATTTTTTTCTTTTTTTGAATTGATAAATATAATTAAAGCTGAAATTAGTTAATGTAATATTTTTAATAGTTTTACTTTTATAGTGAATTATAATTGTATATATCGTATATTCATCATAGAAACAACACGAAATTGTTACTAATTTATTGTAATTTGTTTTCAAGTTAAACTTCATTATGGTGTTTTTTTCCATCGTGATGTTTTTATAGTTTCTTATAATATTAATGCGAAGTTAATATTAACACCCGAAATTTTATTACGGTTACCAAAGAAAATATCAGATTACTTATAATTATCTTGTTTGACATAATGTAAAAAGTTTTTATTCTTAATTAACGGATACCTAATGGTTGTGGGACGGTAATCATTTATTTTAAATATTTGATATCTCGCTTAGTGAAAATATTATAATATTATAATATACCTACGTGTTTTAACGCTGGACATAGCATAATATAACGAAATACATTACATTATATAAACTTATCTGTGTTGAGAATTTTTGAATTAAAATAACTCATCTAAATAAATGTTAGCTGAACAATCATTACGTTTATTATAATGATATGGTCTTCGGAACTCGCATAGAAAACGTTTAAAAGTTAATGTATTTTCGAAAAGCAGATATATTTTATAATTATTGTTCCTAGTATATAGTGTATTGTTGAAAGTGGAATTTTAATTTTGAGTCTTATATCAAAAATAACAATAACAAGAAACCTTATGGATACAAACTCGATTAGCAATTCGTAGAACTGAACCACCCTGACAATAACATAACAACCGATCCTCGCTGATATCTGCCACCTCTATGGTTTCGGTAGTCACTGTAGTCAGACATGTTGTAAGTTTACTAACCCGCACACCATATAGTCGGCATTCAAAGCACACGAAGTATGGAATTCAGTTATTGCGTTTGAACACAAATCATAATAACCAACTGACAAGTTCATATAGTATTTTATAAGCCGACAAACGTTTTTATTATAGAAAAAAAAAATATCCTAAAAATACAAGTTGAATAAGTGTAAGTACTGCGGCCCTTCGATTTATTTTTGAAAAAACCTCAAAACGCTAATACAATAAATGTGTTTACGGCAGGCGGGCACTACTGGATGTGG